GGATGGATGGATGGATGGATGGATGGATGGATGGATGGATGGATGGAGTCCCGTGCGACTTTGAGAATTGGCACTGTATAAATACACTGAGTAAAGATGAATTAAATCCAATCCCCAGTTGGTCTCACACCAATTTGAACCTTTGTGGCAGACCAACAAACCTCTAATGACCTTCAGGAGCGAGGGGATGGAGAGTGATTTGCACGTGAGTTCAACTCACATAAATGGAGCAGTTTTTTGCATTTTTGAAGCTTGAATTTTTCCACTTTTCAGTTTGAATTGTGGAAGCTTCTTAGATAAAAAGACAAATGCCTTCAACAATCATTTAGTCTATGGAAACCCTGTTGGGTCTGGTTGTAGGATTCTGTTCAGTTCTGGACTTGCATCCAGAGCTGTGCCTTCAGGTTTGGGTTGAGAAGAAAGTTTGTTTCCTATCCCCATCGATCCCTGGAAAGAGAAATGATCGAGTCGGACTAATGAGAAAGAAAAGGTAAAGTTGAAATGTTCTGACTGAATTGGACCTGCGGTGTTTGTTTGCTTCAGGTACTCGTGGTGTTTGGCGTTTGCAGCGACTCTGCAGCAGCTGAACGAGCTGGCAGCTCAGAGGGAAGATCTTGCTGAAAACCTGAGCTCACAGATCGTCTGTGAACTGACGCGGTACACTCAGGAGCTGAAGGCTGAGCGCAAGACTGTGAGTCCACAAACACTTTTACAAAGTCAGCGCACAGGAGTGGTCTTGAGTCACATGACTTACAAAACTCTTAAATTAGATTTAATCCTTGTGTTGTCTTTCTGGGAAAAATCAGCCACATTTATTTTTGTCCGTGTTTTTTTATTTTTATTTTTGGGTGCAGTTAATAAAAACAATATCCCTCTACTTTAAAAAAAAATTGTCAATTTAAAAAAAAAAAATGCTACGCTCTCATGTTCCTGAGCGGGAAGAATTGGCTACCTTAAAATACACTGTAAATCCAACTTTTAATCCCATATTTATTTATATTTATAGATTAGAACCAGGGAATTCAGGCAGATGCAAGCAGCTTGCTGCCATCAAAGTTAAATGAGCATCATTTTGTAGAAAATTGACATGGCTTGTGAGATTTTCAAATCATTCTGTTTTTATTTACATTTTACACAACGTTCCTACCGCAGCACGGTGGCACAACTGGTAGAGCTGCTGCCTCTCGGCGAGCAGGTCCTGGTTCAAATCCTGGTCCGGGGGCCTTTCTGGGTGGAGTTTGCATGTTCTCTCCGTGCATGTGTGGGTTTTCTCCAGGTACTCCGGTTTCCTCCCACAGACCAAAAACATGCATGTTAGGCTGATTGGTAACTCTAAATTGTCTCTAGGTGAGAGAGAGAGAGTGAACGGTTGTTTGTCTCTATGTGTCCCTGTGATGGACTGGAGACCCGTCCAGGGTGTCCCCCGCCCCTCGCACAGTGATTGCTGGACATGGGCACCAGCGACCCCCGTGACCCAAAATGAAAGAAGCGAGTAAAAGATAATGGATGGATGGACAACGTTCCTACCGTTTTCAGAATTAGGATAGTATTTTATGTTGTTATTCCTTTAATCAACTTAAAAATCCAATTAAAAAACAGGTTGTAACACAGTCAAAAAGAAATAATACACAATAAATAAATACTTTATTGTAAATTAGGACAAAATGTAATAACTCAATTTTCAATAAACACTTAGTAGATAATACATACATGTCCTGAAGGAATCTGAAGGTTTTACACAAGTTCACATTTCTTATTAACAGTAAAAATGATAATAAAAGTGAATTTTGTTTTTCTCTTGTGAGTACTGTATGTTTGCACTGAGAGGAGTTTTAATCTCACTGTACATTCACTGTACATGGGTGTATTTACAACTGTCAAATTTACTTCCCCCTGAGGCACAGAGGCACATGCTCTATTCAACCTCTTCTTGACTGCCTGGCTGACATCTGGGACTGGATGGCTTTAAACTTCTTAAGTTTCAACGAGAAGAAGTCTGAAGTCATGCTGTTCCATCCCAATGGCACGTTCACGAACCACAGCATTGACTTTTCTCTCTAGCTTCGTTAGAGAAACAAAGAGTCACCAATTTGGGAGTGATAATGGACCCTCCCTGAAACTTAACAGTCACATAAACATGATTGTAAAATCCTGTTTTTTTCAGCTGAGGTGGCTGTCTAAGCTGAAGCCCATACTGTCCAAAAACAATCTTGAGACAGTGATCCATGCGTTCATAACATCCAGGCTCGATCACTGCAATGCACTTCTGTTTGGAATCAATCACTCTTCCATTGCACGTCTACAACTGGTCCAAAATGCTGCAGCTCGATTTTTAACTGGTACAGGCCACAGAGAGCACATTACTCCAGTTTTGGCCTCCCTGCACTGGCTCCCCATTCACCTTCGGATCCAGTTCAAAATACTCCTGTATGTTTTTAAATCACTGAACAGTTCCGCCCCATCCTATCTCACTGATCTTCTGCAGCCATATGTCCCACTGCGCTCTCTGAGGTCAGCAGACCAGATGCTTCTTTCAGTTTCAGAAACCTGTCGTAAGCTCAGATGTGACAGGGCTTTCTCTGTTGCAGGTCCAAGACGGTGGAATGAGTTGCCACTGCGTGTCAGGCAGGCTCCCACACTCACAGTCTTTAAGACTCACCTGAAAACCCACTTTTATTCCCTTGCCTTTGACACGGTGTGATTTGTTTTGATCCTGTCTGTAGTCCACAGTGTTGGACATTTAGTTATTATCCACTGCTATTTGTATCTATATTTTTATTTTATGTTTTCCTGTCCGCTGTGCTTGTTTGTTTCTATTGTACAGCACTTTGCTTGGCCTTGTTGCTGTTTTAAGTGCTCTATAAATAAATTGGTATGATATGGTATAAAGGGCATTCAATTCAATATGAATTGCTTTTTTTTTTTTTATTCATCTCATGAGGACAATTCTCATCAGCATCCTCATTTTAATCTGTTGAAATGTCTCAATCATTGTTTTGATCTCTGTATAGTGCACCCCCCTCCCCCCCACACACATAGGCCCCACCTCCTGCTGACAATATTCACCCAGCCATACTCCTTTGTCATTTTCATCATTTCAGACATCTCATAAGTATCTGGGTCAGAGCTGCACTCTTTAGTTTTCACATTACTTCCACCCTGCAACTCTGGACAACAACAACGGTCACGTGACCTGTGCGTCCATTAGAATCATCAGAAAATATATTCCATTTAATTAAAGATATGACAAATTAAAATAATTTTGAATCGGTTTCAAACATTACATATAATGCAATCAGTCATAAATTAACTATTTTTCGCAATAGCTTGGGTCTTTTTGGCCGGCTGCCGGTAACAAAAAGTGTAAAGACCCAGTAGAAAAATATGGTCCATATTTTTTTCACTTTCAAACAACATTCAGGCATAAAAAGCTCCTAAACTCAAAGGATGAACCACAGCTGTGTTGACACATATTAACTAAGAACTAATTTTAAATTGGATTGTTCCTTCTTTTTTTTTCTCAAATCAAACATAAATTCAAAATCTGTCAGTCTGTCCACCTGTCCCTCCCTCCATCCACCTCATCATCCAAAGAGTGAGGGACCTTTTTTCCAGTTGAGAACAATGGCTTCAGACTTTTAGGAGCGGCCTCTAATATAATATAAGCTGTTATTGCTCAACCTCACCCCAAAGAGAGAGGCTTGAAGCACCAACAGAACCACTATTTGTTTGTTTCAGCATTTCCAAGATGGTCGTCGTGCTCAGCAACACATAGAGACCTCCTGGAAACAGCTGGAATCTGTAAGTAATTCACTGACCACGCCCACTTAAACAGATCCCTCCCACCAACATGTTTATATCATTGCAGACATGAAACTTCCCTCGCTTCTTGTCACACCCTCCAACCTAATCAGAATTCATTTAATTTGTACAAAATATAATAGTTCAGGGTTTTAAATGCTTTGTTTTGTTGTTGGTTGAATGTTGTTGTTTAGAGTAAACGTCGGTTTGAGCGTGACTGTAAGGAGGCTGAGCGAGCTCAACACATCTCAGACAGGATCGATGTGGACAACAAGATGGATGGAGAAAAGGTTCTACACCCAGAGTACAGAACACCTGAACCATAGAGTCCAGAACACCTAAACTCAGACCACTTGAACACTCAAGTTCAGAATAGCTGAAACAGTCCACAACCTATAAGGTCAAAACACCTGCACAATGTCCCATTTAAATTAGGAGCACACTAACACACCAGATGTTGCAGTCAGCTCAGCTCCACCCTGAATATTACACATTCAAATGTTAGTGAGCTGTATAATGTAACATCTGGTTGTTACAGTCAACTCCACACCTGTATAATACCACATCCAGATGTTACTATTAGCTCCCCACATTGTGTAAGAACACAT